CCGCGGACCGGAGCGGCTGGTGCTGTCTGATCGTGACGGCTCTGTCCATGTTGTGTCACTTGCGTCTGCTTTGACACCTCTGTAAGACACCAGTCCTGCCAGTAAAGCCCTAGAATTTAACTTTGAATTTGGGTTGGAATTTTTTTTATTAGATTTTTTTTATCTGAATCTGAATCTGATTTTGATTTTGAATCTGAATCTGAATCTGAACCTGAATTTTTTATTTGAATTTTGTTTTGATTCTGAATCTGAATCTGAAAGTGAATCTGAGTCTGAACTGCAGGGGAGCGACCCCGCTGCAGGCCTGCCATTCCAGTAGCGCGTCTCGGCGCGGCGTCGCTGCTGCAGCTGGTGTCTGACCCTCTGCGCCCCCCGTCCGCAGGCGGAGCTGGAGTCCCTGTCCTCCTCCCTGGCCTCGGCTGAGGTGAAGACTGAAGCTCTGGGCAAGGAGGTGGCCAGCCTGCAGACGCAGCTGCACGACGCCCAGGTATGGCCGGCCCCTCCACCCCCGCCGCCGCCCGCCGATCCGCCGCACACGAGTCTGACGCACGGCCTGCCCCCGCAGGACCTCCTCCAGGACGAGAGCCGCCAGAAGCTGGCTCTGGGGACGCGGGTGCGAGCTCTGGAGGACGAGAAGGCCGGGCTGCTGGAGAGGCTGGAGGAGGAGGAGGAGAGGAGGAAGGAGCTGAACAAGCAGGTGCAGACGCTGTCCCAGCAGGTACAGTACCAGCTTCCTCTCCACTCGCTCTCTCAGCTCTGCTGCGGTCGCCAGCGACCAGCCAGCGTCCAGCCAGCGTCCAGTCATTGTCCAGCTTCTGTCCAGTCACTGTCCAGTCACTGTCCAGCCCGTGCCCAGTCACGATCCAGTCCATGTCCAGCCCGTGTCCAGTCACTGTCTAGTCACTGTCCAGCCCGTGTCCAGTCATGATCCAGTCCATGTCCAGCCCGTGTCCAGTCACTGTCTAGTCACTGTCCAGCCCGTATCCAGTCATGATCCAGTCCATGTCCAGCCCGTGTCCAGTCCATGTCCAGCCCGTGTCCAGTCATGATCCAGTCCATGTCCAGCCCATATCCAGTCATGATCCAGTCCGTGTCCAGCCCATATCCAGTCATGATCCAGTCCATGTCCAGCCCATATCCAGTCATGATCCAGTCCGTGTCCAGCCCGTGTCCAGTTACTGTCCAGTCACTATCCAGTCCGTGTCAAGTCATGATCCAGCCTGTGTCCAGTCACTGTCC